TTCACAAGTTTCAAAATCTCCCCTCCCCCTACCGCATCCCAACACCAGTCCAGCTCGTCCCTGCCTCCCTAACCTGTTCTTCCTCCCACCTATCCCCTCCTCCCACCTCAAGCCACACCTCCATCTCCTACCGACTAACCTCATCCTGCCCCCTTGACCTGTCCGTCCTCCCTGGACTGACCTATCCCCTCCCTAACTCCCCAACTACACTCGCCTTTACTGGCCCCATCCCCGCCTCTTCGACCTGTTTGTTTCCTCTCCTCTATCCCTCTTCTATCCGCCTCCCACTCTCTCCCTATTTATTTCAGAACCCCCTTCCCCTCCCCCTTTTCTGATGAAGGGTCGAGGCCCGAAACGTCAGCCTCTCTGCTCCTATGATGCTGCTTGGCCTGCTGTGTTCATCCAGCCCTGCACCTTGTTATCATCAATCTGGTATGTGATTAACAGCAACAATAACAGATGGAATCTAACACCTACAGTTACTCAATGACCTTGCTGGTGTGTCAGTGGGTGCTGTCGCTTAATGAATCCCTCCCCAAACACTGAGCAGGTGAATTTCCTCTCCCCTGTGAGAGTGTATTTGTGTAAATGCAGGCTATCAGACTGAGGGAATCTCTCCTCTCACGCAGGGAGCACATGAATCGCCTCTCCCCAGTGTGAATTCTCTGATGTGCAGTGAAGGTGGATGACTGCTGAAACCTCTTTCCATGGCCAGTGCATTTGAATGGACTTTCTTCAGTATGAACTCTGTCTGGTGTAACATGAGGCAGGATCACTTAGTAAGTTCCCTACACACAAAGCAGGTGAATGGTCTCTCCCTCGTGTGACTATGTTGATGAATTTCCAGCTGGTATGGATAATAGAATCCTTTACCACAGTCCTTATATTTCCATGGTTTCTCCCCAGTGCCAGCTCCAATGTGGCTGTGCCAATGGATTTTGAGCAGTGATGGATGCTTGAATACTTTACCTCAGTCCTCACATCTCCATGGTTTGGTCATAGTGTCAGTGACCTCATGACCCTCCATTTTGCACAATCTGACGCTTCATCTGCAAGTGTATGGTGTCTCTCCACCCTGAATGTGGTGGAGTATTTTTTTTTTCAGGCTGTGTGACTGGATATTAGATCTTTCCACGGACAGTTTCCTAGAATACTTTCAATTGGGTGTGTGTCTGAGTCTCAATAATATTTGAAATCTTTTCCCACTGACAGAACAAATAATTCTCCTTCCACGTTCAAGGCCTGATGATATTCAGGTCCTAATGAATCAAGCGACTGTTCAATCGTGACCAGATATGTGGTATAAGTTTTCTGTTCCCATCATCTCCTTTAAGTCCATATGTTTACAAAAGTCATCATTGTCAGTCCAGGAATAAATTCCAGTTTCTATGGAACATTTATTCCCTTCTCATGTCCCCAAAGCTGTGAGATCCCGGTCACACACGTTCCCCCTCCTCCCAACATCTGTAACACCACAGAATTCCCTGCCACAGTTGGAGCAGGTGAATGGCCTCTCCCCACTGTGACTCCACTGGTGTGTTTTCAGTTCAGGAGGGAACCTAAATCTTTTCCCCACAGTTCCTGCAATTCCATGGCTTGACAAACCAACTCATCGGCTGAAGCCTCATCCATACACCTAAAACGTGTCTCCCGCTGTCAATGGTATTTTCCCTTCCATGGTCACAACCCAATGGTATTTCAGGTTGTGATAACTTGTTTGATATTGTTAGACCCTGCTGTGGTGTTTGATTGGAATTTTCCAAAGGCAAATCTACTTCATGCCCTGTGAAACTGACTAAAAGCCAAAGAAAGGGAGTTGGAGAGAACCCATAGAAGCCCAAAGCCGGTTGTGAAACTGAGTTGAATGAAGCTGGTAAGTCTGGAGGCCAGCACTCAGGAAAAGGGACCATGAAAGCTGGCAGATTGTCACAAAAACCCAACTGATTGACTGACTAATATCCTTCAGGAAAGGGTACCTGCCACCTGTTCTAGGCAGTCATAAGACTCTGGGCTCTATGCAAAGTGAAGGGGAGAGAAATGTGACAGCGTGATTTTAAAACTCACAACACAAGCAGACCTTGACAAAATCTCTATGTCAAATGCTGCTTCATAATAGAATATTCCATTGATTTATGGAATTATTATGTGCAAGGTGCTTGTTGGGTTCCTAAGAAACGAGGAACAGTCTGCGATCTTTAAAAATATCCAGTCTCATTTCTTCTTAGATGTAGACTACATAGTTACTATTGAGATCTCTGCAGCAACAGCTTTTATCATGCTTCTTACATTTTTTACTTGATCCTCCTTGAAACTGCAAATAACAGTCAAGAAGGGTCCAGACCCGAAACGTCAGCTTTCCTGCTCCTCTGATGCTGCTTGGCCTGCTGTGTTCATCCAGCTCTACACCTTGTTATCTCAGATTCTCCAGCATCTGCAGTTCCTACTCTCTCTGAAACAATAAATATTGGTCTGGGCAGCAAAGACCACACCCATGAATAAATTAAAATTAAGACGGGTTTTCGTTTCGTAGACAAATAGCAGAAGCTCAGATAATTCTCCTTGGAGCTGAGAACGTTAAGCAGTGACTTAGTTGAGCTGTAGATTTGTTTTCAGTATATTTCATTGGGAGAGAGAGGGATATATATTGTTAACACTGTCACAATGTTTGGTAGCCATAGAAGACAGCTTTCACAGAATTGGCAAATAATCCGAGGTGAAAATGTGAAGATTATTTCGCTCAGCAAGTTCTGAGGATCTGGAACAGCCTGAACAGCAGCTGGATGGAGATTCAGCAGTCATTCTCAAAATCGGTGAACAGGTTTATTTCAAATCACAAGCCTTCGAAATGCTGCTCCGTCGTCAGGTGAGGGCACTGTGTAATCCTCTAACCAATGGGAGTGAACGAGGGGCGGGGCGAGCTCGACGGCACGTGATCAGTAACGCTTTCCGGCTCTGCTGCGTTAATACCTAACTGGCGCCTCAGTGTTTGTGGGAGGAGGTAACGGGTAAGGTAAGGAGGTACAGCGGACACCGGGAAGAAAATTGAGTTAGACTGGAGTGGGAGATTTTATGAACACTCAGTACAGGCCGCTAGATTCGAATTAGAAACTCGCGGTTCCGCGTTTGCAGCAAACGGCTGCGGGCCTCAGGCGGTAATAGGCTTCAGAAGGCGGTAGCCATCTTTATTGGGGGCAATCCGCTGCAGCGCGCATCCGTTTGCTTCTTGGAAGGGGCGGGGCGATTTGAAGAGGAGCATTTATACAACAACTTGAAAACCAAGAGAAATGTCTGTCTTTTCTAGATTTCTATCCTGGACCGACAGTGATTTTACTTTTGTGAATTCGTATTACAGGATATAATTGAGAATAATTTGCAGACTGGGATCTCAAAACAAGTTCTGACAGTCAGCGGCGTCATCAGGATCTGAATATCATTGGCATTTAACTGTGGAAGGAAAAAGGTTTGTCTATTCTGTCTGTGGGAAAATATCTCCGATATGTTTTTAACTCAAAAGACAGCAACATGTTCAAATTCGTGGTTAGATCACCCTGGGGTGTGTGCTCAGTTCTGCAGCTGAGGAAGTAGATACTGGGCTGAGAGGCAGCGTAGCTTTATCTAAATAACACATTAACTCTTTGAAAGAACTGCCATATTTCATCCCAATCGCCCACTTTATGATTTTGACCTATACATTTATTATTCTCAAATACCTGTAACCTTCCTTTAAAATTCCTTATGAACTCAAACTCTGGCACCCTTTCAGGTGGAACGTTCCAAATCCTGACAACACTATTGATCTTGAACCTGCTGAAGCTCATTTTGAGTCTGCAGGGTTACAATGTGCTGAATTGAAAGATGAACTGCATTGGATCAGTACAGGAGGCTGAGGTCAGCGTAGGTGTGAGCAGACAATTAAAATGACAAGGCTGCACTGTTGAGTGCTGCTTGGCTCGGTGAGAGTGCTTTGGAGCTGAGTGTTTTCAATCAAAAAGTTAGGTGAGGCAGGGAGAAGGCGAAGCTGAAAGATTGAGTGTGGGGCTTAGTCTCAATTCAGGCAGTTTGGAAAGTTGCACAGTCCCAATAGAAACAGCCAATTAGTAAGTGATACCTGCAGACTGTTTTCTTAAAGTCATGACAGGAGTCCTTGAGCCGTGGTGTGCTCCTCTTGCACAATGTGGGAAATAAGGGATGCTTCCAGTGTCCCTGACAGCTTCACATGCAGGTGCTGTATCCATCTGCAGCCACTGGCTACCTTCGGTTTTGAGCTGGAGCTGTGGGTGACTCACTGTGGTGCATCCATGACACGGAAAACGTAATTTGCAGCACGTTTAGAATAGAATAGAATCCCTACAATAGAGAAACAGGCTCAACCCAACACGTCCATGCTGACCCTCCAAAGAGCACTCCACCAAGACTCGGCACCCTACACTATCCCCGTAAGCCTGCATTTCCCATTGCTAACGCACCTAACTTTCACATTCCTGAAGACTATGGATGATTTAGCACGGCCAATCCACCTAACTTGCACATCTTTGGACTGTGGGAGGAAACCGGAGCACCCCGTAGAAACCCACACAGGCACGGGGAGGATGTGTAAACTCCACTCAGACAGTCGTCTGAGTGTAGAATTGAACCTGGGTCCCTGGCGCTGTGAGGCAGCGGTGCTAACCATTGAGCCACGATGGCCACACCATTTTCCAAGATGGTCGCACCAGCCAGCTCATAAATACCAAGGGTGGTCTGCAGCATAAAAAGGGAGGAAAGCAAGTGGCAGGACTACAGGGACAGGAGATTCAAAACAGTAATCAGACATGAATCTAGGATGGTACATTGCCTCCCTGGTGCCAGGATAAAGGATGTCGTGGAGTGGCTGCAGGGCAATTTTGAGCTAGAGAGTGAACAGCCAGTGGTCATGGTTCACGTAGGTACCAACGACATAGCTAAACAAAGGGATAAGGGCCTGAAAGCTGAATAGAGGACAAGAGGGGATATATTAACATACAGAGCCTCCAACATAATTTTAGACTTACTCCCAGTGCCACGTGCCAGCAAGAGCAGGAATAAGAGGGTAGACCAGATGAATGTGTGGCTGGAGAAATGGTGTACCAACGAAGAGTTTAGACTCTTGAGGCATTGGGATCATTTCTGTGGGAGTTGGGACCTATACAAGCCTGACCAGTTGCCCCTGGGCAGAGCTGGGACAAATCTCCTCTTGGGACCTTTTGCTAGTTCCATTCATGAGGTTTTAAACTCGTATGGCAAGGGAATGAAATCAAAGTGTAGGCTTAGATGGGTCAGATTCAGATCTGGAATTGCGAGGTAGAATATTAGTTAGTGATGCAGTCAGTGGATCTGAGAGACAAAAGAGGGGAGGATTAAACGAGGATAGATTCTCTCTTCACACATCAGTCCTGACATCCCAGGAATCAGTCTGGTGAACCTTCTTTATACTCTCTCGATGGCCAAGGCATCCTTCCATGCAAAAGGAGAACAGAAGTGCACACAAAACTCCAGTTGTGGTCTCACCAAAGCCCTTACAGAAAGATTTCCCTGCTCCTGTACCTGAACCCTGTCACAATGAAGGCTAACGTATCATTTGCATTCTTCCCTGCCTGCCACTCCTGCCTGCTTACAAAAGGAGCGTCTCAGGAAAACATGGAACAAAATGGGGTCACAGACTCTGATATAAAATTGTAGAACGCAATGTCAGCATCATACCCATGCTGGTCATCAAGCACCTATTTACTTGATCCCATTTTCCGACATTCAGCGTGTAACCTATATTGCAGTGCCTTGTATGATCATCTAAACATATCTTCAAGGTTGCAATCGTTCCTGCATCTGTTGCCATTTCAGATGCTGCCAGACCTGCTGAATGTCTCCAGCATTTTCTGATTTTATTACGGATTCCCACCATTTTGCTTAAGAGCTTAGTGTCACAGAGTGATACAGCATGGAAACAGACACTTTGGTCCAACTCATTTATTTGGACAGATATCTGGTCTAGTCCCATTTGCCAGCATTTGGTCCATATCCCTCTAAACACTTCCTATTCATGTACCCATCCAGATGTCTTGTAAATGTTGTGATTGTACCTTTCTCCACTTCTTCCTCTGGCAGCTTGTTTCATACACGCACCACCTTCTGTCTGAAACGATTGCCCCTCTAGTCCCATATAAATCTTTCCCCTCTCACCTTAAACCTGTGGTCTCTATTTTTGAACTCCCCTACCCTGGGAAAAAGATCTTGGCTATTCACCCTACCCATGTCCCTCATGATTTTATAAATCTCTACTAGGTCCATTCCTCAGCCTCTGACACTCCAGAGAAGAAAAGCCCCAGCCAATTCAGCCTCTCCCTATAGCTCAACTCTCCAATCCCAGCAACAACTTTGTAAATCTTTTCTGAATACTTTCAAGTTTAACAATATCTTTCCTACAACAGGGAAACCAGAATTGAATGCAGTCTTCCAAAATTGGCCTAACCAATGTCTAATACAGCCACAACATGCCCTCCCAACTCCTATACTTAATGCATTGACCAAGAAAGGCAAGCATTCTAAATGCCTCCTTCACCACCCTGCCTACCTTTCAAGGAACTATGTACTTGTTCTTATCCTTTTGGAGGGATTGAACGGTATAGGGAGAAAACAGGACTGAGTTGTAGATCTATAAAATGCCTCTTCCTCGTGCCTGCCTCTCCCACCTCTATCTCTTTCTGTAGTTTTGTGTAAACATTGACTGGTTCCCTTTTCTGGTGGAGATTTATGAACAAGTTCAGGTTTAATGATAACTCAGCAGTTTCCCTCAGTCTCTTCTCCAAAACTGACCAGATTAATTGCTCTCAATTTCACAACCTGTGTGTCTTTCTGGTTTCTCCTAATACATTTGTTTTCTGTTTTGAAAGGTTGATTTGCACTTCGAGACTTCAAATGAAACCACGTCGAGATCTGATAGTCACATTGAAGGAAAAAGCACCATTCACACTGGGGAGAAACCTGCATCGTCTGTGTGTGGAAGAGTTTGTGAAGATTCATCTGAAATGTCCAAACGCCAGCGCAGTCACACTGGGGAGAGACTATGGAAACATGGGGATTGTGGGAAGGGATTTCTTTACCCATCCCAGCTGAAAACTTACCCACGCAATCACACTGGGGAGAAGCCATTCATCTGCTCTGATCGTGGAATGGGATTCGCTCGGTTATCCGGCCTGCAGATACACCAGCGGGTTCACACTGGGGAGAGACCATTTGTCTGCTCTACGTGTGGGAAAGGATTCACTCGGTCGCCTTTCCTGCTGATACACCAGCAAGTTCACACTGGGAAGAAACATTCACTCGGTCATGTCACCTGCTGGTACACCAGCCTATTCTCTCTGTGGAGAGACCTTCACTTTTTCTATATGTGGGAAGGGATTTCAAACTGTTAACACACCAATGAAATGACACTGGATGGATCCCGTTCACCTGCTGAATTTGTGTAAAAGGCTTTGCTGTTTGCCAACACACCAGCAAATTCACAAAAGAGCCACAGGTGAAGGATCTGACTTTGACTCACACCAAGGAATGAATCTTGGTTATTGGACTGTTTGTATTGATGTTATTAAACCCTGTTCTATTAAAGGGGCTGATATTGTAGATAAAATGTTGATATAATTGTTTATCTTTAGGATAAGTTTTGAAAATAATCACATTGCAGCTGCACATCAACACCTTTACATGGGGTGAAGACTGTCCACCTGTATATTGTTTGTAAAGTGATTTTGAGGTTCATCAGGATTGGTTAAACAACAATGAGTTCCCCAGTAACTGTCAGCGTTGGATTTTGATGCTATTGTTATCCAAATCCAAACCATGCTTTCTGGCCCTATTTCTGATGTTTGTAAACACCACAGGTTCAGTTACCTATTTGGGATAAAAATAATACAAATCTAAAACTAAATTGCATCAAGTCTTTGTCTCATTCTGAGTCCCTTAGAGATAAGAAAATCAGTACCCTTCACATGACCAGCTGGGAGAAGGCACAACCGGATGAGATATAGCCTGAAATGCTGGAAATTAAGTTACAAGTGCTGTTGGGGAGTGTGCAACTTTACTTAGCAAAAAGATGGAATCTAGAGAGAATGTCCAAAAAAGTAGGAAGAAAAGAGAAGAATCAACAAGTGAGTCAGGAAGGCATCAACATTTGGTATAAGGGTGTTTGACACCCTGTTACATGGCATTGATTTTAATGCTAAGAGTGTGCCAACCAACGCAGATGAGTTGAGGATACAAATTAAAAATGGGGGTATGATAACATTGCTGTCACTGATACATGGTTGAGAGAAAGGCAGGTTTGGAAACTCAGTATTCTAGGATACAAAGGTCTTCATGTGAGACAGCAAAGGAGGCAAAAGAAGAGAAGGTGTAACAATTATGTTTAAGGAATTTATTACAGCAATCAGGAGAGATGACATCTTAGAGAACGTAAATAAACAAGTGGAGCTGGTCAGCAGGCAAATGTCAGAGAAGTGTAACAGTAATAGGGTCGTGATAGCGGCAGATTTCAACTTCCCCCAACATTCACAAGATAGCGTGAAAAGTTTAGAGGAATGTTTAAAGTAAATCCAGGACAGCTTTTAAAGCCAGGATGCAGAAGTCCCAACAAGATAGGGGGAAAATCTAGATTTTCGGTAACAAAGGTGCACAATTGACTGAAATATCAGTGGGGGAACATTTTGCAGACAGGATTGTTATGGAAAGAACCAGGATGGACCTCAAATCAAAGATCTAAAATCAAACAATTTAGAAGGGTTGGTTATGATTTGGCCAGAGTGTACAGGGAGCAGATACTTTCAGGTACATGTGCAAGAGTGAATTTAAATGGGGAGATATGTAGAGCTGTAAGGGGAAACATGAATTGATACAGCCAGGTAAAATTAAGGAAAATGCTCAGTTGTTTTACAGGTACATTAATGGGTAAAGGATAAAGGGGGAAAGGGTAAGGCCCATTAAATGCAATCACAAACCTCTCCCTGATTTGTCTGTCTCACTAGTGAATACTGACACAAAGAATTCATTTAGAACCAACCCTACATTCTCTTGTTCCAAGTACAGTTTACTGCTGTGTTCCTTAAAGAAATTAGAATAGAGAGAACGTTTTGAGTCATCTGGCAAGCTGAAATGTGGATAAACCTTCAGAGTCAAGTGAAATGTATCCTCTGTTGTTGGGACGAAATAGCAGGGCTGCTTGCAAAAATTATCAGTGCTGGTTAGAGCTGCCCATGACCGAGCAGCACAAAATGTCCAACAACTGCCCAGTCACAGTTGCTGACAAGGTTGCTGAATGCACATAAGATATAAATAATAACATTTAGTGTTTGAGTAACAATAGTGCCTCTGTAAGACATAGAGGATAACATTTAACTCTTGATTCGGCTAATGCATAAGACAGGTAATAATATAGTCTTAACAATAGCGGCTCTGTAAGACATAGATAATAACATTTAGCATTTGGCTTTGAAAAAGGACATCTCGCACTAACTAGCTGTTTAATTAATAATTACAGATATAGACTCTGAATTAGTTACAGAAACAAAAAGAGGCAAACCGGAACGCACATAGTTAACGATCAGTTCAGTGAATATGGTCTCGAAAGCTGGTCTCTCGCACTCTCTCCCCTGCCCCCAACCCCATTCTCTCTCTCGCGCTCTCTCTCTCTCTCTCTCTCTCTCGCTCTCTCTCGTGCACTCACTGTCTGTCTCTCTCCAACCACATAACTTCGTTGGAACTGATCAAAAATCGATAATCTCATATATTTCCTGTAATGAGAAATTTAAAAGGTTCTGAAATCCAATTAATTGGCAGTTAACACGGTGCAGCTGGAAAATGTTACTTGAATGCAGTATCCATTGTGAAAAGTCTCACGAAGAGACTAAGAGTCTGGAAAGCATCATGGAGGACCAGGGGTGGATCACAAGCCTGTCCATCTCAGTGATTAGCAAGCTTGAGCTGTGTAAATGCTGCATTTACGAGCCAATTACAGAGGGACTTTTTGGCACCGCTGACTAATAGTAATCAAAGTAGGGTGTGTGTGCTCTAAGTTTAAATTGTGTAAATTAAGACATTCTGAAGCTTTGTGTGTGCCTTTTTGCTGTGTGCTGCAGCTGAGCTGTAAATATAGGTCACCTGAAACCACCCCATGACTTGGACTCTGATTGAAAATATGACTTATAACAACTTGGCATAGTTTGGCAGGATTGCTGAAGGAACCCAGACCTCTCTGTAGAATAGAGACCCATGTCGGTGCCCATAGAGGTAAGGACTCCTCATTTTCTAAAAGTCCTTAGTCAGTTGCCTAAACTTGACGGTCTCTCCTTTCTCGCGATTCTGAACTCCGGCAGGGTAGGCAGGCTCGAGCTCCCTTAAATCAGATGTCTTTATACAATGGAGCTGAGGTAATAGTCTCCAACCGAGGCTAATTAAGCTCGACTTGAGACCCAATAATTATCCCGATGGTGGTTGACAAGAATACAGAACTGCCAACAACTACCAAGGATGCGCTGGCCTAACCTGACATATCAGGAGATGAAATTCTGCTGAAATTAAAGGAATATATAGACCAACAATTCAACCAATCTAAAACTTCTGTGAAAGTCAGGCAAAAGTATGATACCTCCACAGGACAATGGTCCCTGGATGATATTAAAAATGGTCTGGGGAGAATCAACAAAAGAGTACAAAAGAGAAAGAACATGTAATGTAATTGGGTGTCCTGATGGGGCAGGTCTGACAGTGAAACAAAATTATAACACACTCTCAATATGAGCAAGATATAACCAGCATAAAAGAACGATTAAAAGTGGTGTGTGAAGAATTAATAGGGGTTTAAAAAATAAAGCACAGGAATGTAGAAGAAAATATGAAGAGTTAGAGTCAGAAAACAAGAAACTCCAGAAACAAGTATCTAAAGAGTTTAACAAGCCCCCTGAGCCCAAAGGGAAGAGTGCCAAATCCTGGCTCTGATACCTCTGTTAAAACCACTTGGCCAAGGACCAACAGAGGGCACAAAGGAGGGAGGTCGGTTTTGACATACATTCAGACTCCCCTGGTGAATCAGAAGTAAAAGAGCAAAAATAAAATGGAGAGAGACAGCTATCACGTATGCTTATAGAAAACAAGACTACCATACTCCTGCAGACCTGGAAAAGATAAAAAAAAAGGTCTAAAGAGACACCCAACACTATAAAGGGAGGAATGAAAGCATTTTTTTCTCTCTTTATTCATTCATGGGATGAGGGCATCACTGGCTAGGCAGCATTTATTGCCCATCACTAATTGCCCAGAGGGCAGTTCAGAGTCAACCACATCACTGTGGGTCTGGAGTCACATGTTGGCCAGATCAGGTAAGGATTGCAGTTTCCCTCCCTAAAGGAAATTAGTGAACCAGATGGGTTTTTCCTGACAATCGACAATGGATTTGTGGTCATCGTTAGATTGTTAATTACAGATATTTATTGAATTCAAATTCCACCATCTGCCGTGGCAGGATTTGAACCCAGGTCCCCAAAACATTATCTGGGTCTCTGGATTAACAGTCCAGCAATAATACCACTAGGCCATTGCCTCCCCTTGCATGGAATTGTAAGTTCCAGTTGCATAGAGCAACTGGAATGGCTGAGACATATATACAATTTGCAATTGATAGATGGGGTCTAAATATTGTCAGTACTGATGACTCTTAGTGAAGGAACGAGATTGAGTAGGAAAGTGTATGAAGGATTGGGGGAGGATGAACAAAACTTGGACAGAAGCTGGGCAGCAGTATGGAATTGGTTGTGAGATATTTGGCCCCCAAAGGTGGACTGGATGAAGGTGACAGCATGTACACAAAAAGTGAATGAAGATCCACTTGTTTATTTCAAAAGATTTAAGATGGCATGGTCAGATCACTCTGGATTTGACATTAGGGAACCCAATGACCCGGACAGTAGTGTGGGACCACTAAAGTCTGCCTTTGTGTCACAACTGAAGCCAGAACTAGCTGAAATGTAGAAAGTAGCCCATCAAGACTGGGAGGATGATCTAGTGAGTGGGAAATCTGGCCCGTCGGTGCCATAGGCTGGACAGGGACATGAGTGCTAAGGCGAGAACAATGCAAGTCACAGGCGGTAAACCAAGTGAGGAACAATTGTCAGGAAGGGCCCCTGACAAATGCCACGATAGCAGCAAAGAAGGACATTGGGCAAGAACTTGTGGTGCCAAGCAACGAGACCACCGAGGTGGCGCGCAAGGCAGTTCTAAACCAGGGTCAAACCCCTCCCCAGAACAGTTGTGATAGACAGTATCAAGAATATGACCACGGAACAAGTGAAGGAAATGTTGAAAAAAACAAAAAAAAAAATTAGAGGAGCCCACCCTCTCCCTCACGTACCCCTGATGGCTCTATTACATCAATGAGGGATGGCATTTATATCCTTATGAGGTAGGGAAGCAAGAAACAGACAGTCTTTTGCATACTTGAACAGATTTAACCTGTTTAGCTCTCTATTATGGAAAATTGCTATGCCTGGACAGGAAAACACTGACAGCACTTGGAGTGGGAAGCGAAGGTCTTACTATTAAAAGAATACATCTGGTGCCCATTGAATTGGGCCTGCATGAATT